CCTTTTCTCAGTCCTACTTCTTCCCTTTCTTTTCAGAGGTATTGATCCCTAACAACATCTCACAGACCAAACTCTATCCCAGCATCTGCATCCAGAAGGCACAACTTGCGACACCAAGTGTATTAGTCCATTCTCACACTGCTAATAAAGACATACCCAAGACTGGTAATTTATTTATAAATGAAAGAGGTTTAGTGGACCCACAGTTCCAAATGGCTGGGGAGGCCTCACAATCATGGTGGAAGGCAAAGGAGAAGCAAAGGCACGTCTTACATGGAGGCAGGCAAAAGAGCATGTGCAGGGGCAGCACCCTTTATAAAACCTTCGGATCTCATGAGACTTATCCACTATCACAAGAACAGCATGAGAAAGGAAAGACCCGCCCCCATGATTCAAATACCTCCCTCCAGGTCGTTCCCACAATCTGTGGAGACTAAGGGAGCTACAATTCAAGATGAGATTTGGGTGCGGACACAGCCAAACTATATCACCGAGTCTCTCCTCTGCAGACTTTTTCAAAAGTTGTGATTAAATACATATAGCATAAAATGTACCATTGTAACCATTTTTAAGTATATGGTTCAGTGGCATTAAGTACATTCCCATTGTTCTGCAACCGTCACCACCATCCATCTCCAGAATTTTTCATCTTCCCAAATAGAAACTCCACTCACTAAACAACAGCTCCCCATTCACCCCTCCCCCTGGTCCCTGGTAGCTTCTTTTCTACTTTCTGTCTTCATTATTTTGCCCATTCTAGACATCTCGTATAAGTGGAATCATACAGTGTTTGCCCTTTTGTGACTAGTTTATTTTATCTAGCTTGTCTTCAAGGTTCATCCATGCTGTAGCATGCGTCATGGTTTCCTTCTTTGTAAAGTCTGGATAACAATGTCGCATGTGTACTTACCACATTTTGTTTATTCATTCCCCCATCAGTGCATCACTGGACACTTGAGTTGCTTCCACTTTCTGGCTATTGTAAATAATGCTGTGCAGACTTATTTCATCTCATGCCAACTACCCCCTTATACAGATGGGCCTTCCTAGCCTCCTTCAGGATGACCAAGAGCTAAGAGGAAAGGCAGGCATATTCAGAGTTTCCCAATCATGGGATCAAGAGGGGCAATTGTTCCAGTCCCTCACTGCCTCAATGTGATGAGTTGGGCAGTGTCCTGAGACCAGATACAGGCAAACAGACAAGGCCATATTTGCTTTCCAAGGAGGAAAAAAGGTACACAAGACACATACGTGAATGACAGAAAAGCCCTGGGCCAATCCAGGAAAGATTCATGCTCCTGCATCCTTTCTGGGATCTCTTTCCCCACAACACTGTCTGTGATATTCCTTGGAGGGGTAAACAGGAGGTGAGCATCCCGCTCTGGGCTTTGCCTTGTCCTGCATCCCACTCTGCACTAGCCAGGGGGAGCCCAGGAAGGTTGATATGTTACAAATAATAATCCCTGACCTGAAAAAAAAATGATTGAATGCAGTCCTGCAACAGCAGCTTTTTGGATGCCTAATGTGTGCTAGGCTCGGTGCTAGGCATATGCCACCTAGCCATTGAGGTCACCTTTCCAAGAGCTGAGGAACCCCCAATGTAGGTCTCCAAATATCATGGGGTAGTCCCAACCAAGCACAAGACAAATGCTCAAGGGCGCTGTCCTCTCTGGGATGTGAACTCTGCTCCCGCTCCGAAGACCTGCGCTCCTTGAGTTTCAGGGCAGTTCCCCATCCATCCACACATCCATCCATTCATTCCACAGTTGTCTTCTCTTCTGCCAGATGTGCCACACGCACGCGCGCACACACACACATACAGAGAATGAAAAATATTGCTCAGTGATGAAGATGTGCCCTCATCTCAAAACTATAAAATAGAACCTCTGACCAACTCCCGTAGGAGGAGCAGCACACCTCACGCCCTGCCCGCACCGGGTCAGCAGTCAGCAGGTGTGGGAGTGTTTTCTCTGGCTGCTCTCTCTGTAGGAGACCTTGGGTTGAACAGCCATGAGTCAGTCCCTGCCTTCAGAGAGTCCCTCAACTGCATCCCTTAGCACCAAGTGGCCCCTAATGAAGACTCGAGGCCTCCCATCCAAACATGATCTTAGTTGTCAGTTGTCACTCAGGAACGAAAAAGCCCAAACTGAAGGCACGTGTGCTCTCCTTCTGTGCCAGAGAGCTCGCTGCCTGTCACAAGCCAGATATGATGTATACGAATAATAAGGCCCCTTGAATTACCCATTAAGTGCTGTCAGCAAATCACATGATTTCTTTTTTAATATTGCAAATATCTGGCCCCTGGAAAATGATGATGATGCTATCTCCACTCAGCTAGATGATAAACAGAGTTCCTGTGCCAGGGAGCCACCGCCCCTCCTCCAGGGTTGTCTCAGAAAAGGCAAGGAAGGATGAGGAGAGGCTCCTGCAGTTTTGAGCTTCAAGTCCCATCTTCATCTGGCACAAACGCCCCTACACTGCACCTCCCTCCAGCCAACGTTCCCTGGCTTTCCTGACAGCATGGCTGAGGCATAAATGCCACTTCCTCTGAGTGGCCTTCTCTGACTGCCTTACCTAAACAGGCACCTTGCACTGTTCACCCTCCAAGCACCTGCTTTTTCATTCCCAGCATTACACCTGTTTGCTTGTTTAATGCATCACTTATTAAACAATAAGCTCTGTGAGGGCTGTCTTGTTAATTATTCAACCCACAGTGCCTAGCACATTGTAGGGCACATAGTATGACCCCCGTAACCACTTGTTAAGTAACTTAATACTCAGTAAACACTGCTTGACAGACCCACACTTCCTGGAACAGTCAGTGCTTCTCAAACCTCATCGTGCATCAGATCACCTAGAGGGTTTGTTAAGCCACAGATTACTAGACCCCACCCTCAGTGTCTGGTGCAGTAGGTCTGGGTGGGGCCTGTGGATTTGCATCTCCAACAACATCCAAGGTGATGACAATGTTTCTGGTACAGGGGACCCACTTTGAGAATCACATCCCTGAGAACTGCTCATAAATGCAGACGCTCACTTTCTGCTCTCCTGCCTTCTGGGCGTATTTATCAGAGCTGTCCATGTGACTCTAAGTGACAGATGCAAAACACGGGGTTCTTCAGATCCAGTTTGTCCAAACTGAATAAAAGTATTCTTATCCATAATAGTGGGAAGGTAACTTGAGGCCAGTAGATGCAAAGTGAGGTGAGTTGCTCAGCAAGTCCTGGCAGATACAGCACAGAACTCTGCGTACCAGATACACAGTTTCCTGTTCCAATCACTGAGCTGCACTTTTCTGACACCAACTGTAGAAATGAGTTGGCTTCCAAGTGGCTTATTAGAGAACAAATTATTCCTTGTTTTTCTACTCTTTCCATGTGAGTTAATCTGCAAGTCTAAAGTCCAAGCAGGTGCCAGAGTTATTCCTGCAACTGGCACCAAATTGCATTCAGAAAGCACAATTAGCAGTTCATTAATGTGCCTCAGAATGGGATAATCTACATTTTACCCAAAGGCAGCCTCCATCCCCACTGCACTTTACTCTAATGTGCCAACATACAGGTTGCCTGGCTAACCGGGCCTTTGCACATCCCACCATTTGCCAGGTGACAGTCCTTACCTATTCACTGGACCAGAGGAGAAAGGACCCACCCTCCGCAGTTCAGGATCCAAGAAGCACTCTCTACTCATCTTTTCTTCTTCTTCTTCTCCTTCTTCTTCTTCTTTTCTTCTTTTTCTTCTTCTTCTTCCTTCTTCTTCTTCTTCCTTCTCCTTTTCCTCCTCCTTTCTGCTTCTTCTTCTTTTCCTCCTCCTCTTCCTCTTCCTCCTTCTTCTTCTTTTCCTTCTTCTCCTCCTCCTCCTTCTTCCTCCTCCTCTTTCTTCTTTCTCTTCCTCTTCCCCTTCCTTCCTTCCTTTCTTCCTTCCTTCCTTCTTTCTTTCCTTCATTCCTTCCTTCTTTCTTTCCTTCATTCCTTCCTTCCTTCCTTCCTATTCCTTCCCTGCTTAAACTATTCAGTCTGCAAACCATTAGGGAGACCTAAAAGAGCAGGCACCTGTGCCAAAGCAGAGGGGAGATGCAGTGGCCCACAGAGGTGTTGGAGACCAACAGTATATTGAGGCTGAGGCTGTGATAGAGGAATGAGAGGGTGACCAGAGCTGAACCAAGCATGGTGTGTGGGGCTCCACAGAGATGAGGAGCTTGGGCAGCATGAGACAATGAGCATAAAGTGTGGAGACCTGAGGAGTGGGGAGGGCTTCTGCCTTAGGTCAGAGGACAGCCCAGCACAGGCTAGAGACAAAATTGCATGAGGAGGGCATCTATGCCAGGAAGGAGTGATGGCAGCAATGGAAGATTGGTGACACATAGGGAGATTTATCAATTAAGGAAATATGTTCAAGATGACTAGAGCCAGGATTCCTGCTGGCAGTGAGGGGAGCCACAAATATAAAAAGGAAAAAAGAAAAACTAAAGTGAATCCTGAGGTGTTAGAATTTATAGTATATATGCGAACTTGGGATTTTTAATAAATAGACAAATCAATATGTAAATATGAATGCAACTTTATGTGTACACATACCTATATGTAAACATACATGTATATATTTCTTCACTCTGTCCCCCAAGAGGGCCTGAGGAACACTCCAACACCAATGATCACATCTAACCTCCTGGATCTGGGTTTCTAAACAGCATTCTTCTCTACAAGGAAGCAGGACTCTCCAGGCTGGTGCAGGAAAGTACAAGATGAGCCTGGAATGTCTCGTTGTGCCAGAAGTAAAGACGTGCTCAAAGTGTGAAGGGAAGATGAGAAAAGCACACAGAAGCCTGCCTGGAGGGACTCCTACTGGCCAACTCAGAGGCAAACAGAGCAAAAAAAATAAATAATGAAGATCATAGGTTGCAATCCATTGAACAAGATATAAAACCATGAGCTCATACCAGTAAAAATAGATAAGTGAACAAGGCTGATCTCCAAGTATCTCCACACATGATTACTTACAAAGAGGAAAAGAGTAGCTTAATGTTGGAAATGCCTGGCAGATACTACCGCAAGCAAGTAATCAAAGTCAGCATCCCTCATTCCAAGACAAAACAGAATCGTGTGCCACCTGATAAGATGTGATGAGAAGTTTCTGTGAAACTCTTGCCAAAGATGTATAGTCTGAAATTAATCATGAGGAAATGTCCTACAAAGCCAAAGTGAGGGGCATGCATTAAAACAGTTGGCCGGTAGTCTTCAAAAGCATCCAGATCCCAAGCATCAAGGAAAGACTGGGGAACTATTCCAGATGGAAGGACACTATAAAGACGAGACAAGTAAATACAATGTGGGATCTTGGACTAGATCCTTTTGCTATAAAGATTATTCCTGGGGCAACTGGCACAACGTGAATGGGGGCTGAGGATTCAATCAGTTCCTTTCCTGCCTTTGATGGTTGTCCTCCGGTCACATAAGAGCATGTCTTTGCTGAAAGGTACGTAAACTAAAGTATTCAAGGGTGATAGACATCACTTCAGCAACATACTCTGAAATAGTTCTAGAAAAAGAACGATGTTTTGCTGTACTTACAGCTCTTCTTTATGAATGAGATTGTTTAAAAAACACCATTTAAAAAGCTATCACTGTGATGCCCAATAAAAGGCTTCAGTCTCCTTCAGCCCACATTATCTGTCCAAGCTTGTGATGAGCTCAGTCTGCTTAGAGATGCTGAGTGAGTCAGCCTCACACCACGGTGCTGAGGTCATCACAGTCATGCCCACCATCTAAAATATCCTGCATGGAAGAGGGAAGTAAGGGGGAGACTGGTGGACTCCATGCCCTTCTGGAGCCCTGCATTGATTTCAGGAAGGATTCAGGCCACAAGAATTGGGAAGATAGACGTCTCCATAACGTTGGCATTGGGTATGTGGTTACAAGAGCAATGTCCTGACTTCCGGTCTCATGTCTGGCCCCCACAGGTGCTCTGCTCTCATGGGTACACCCTGGGAAGCTTCTGCCTCCTCCTCTTCCATGTGAGGAAGGCTGACAGAGCAGGGCTGTCTATCCTGGATCATGGGTTGAAAGAAGGGGTGTGTTCCTCTCAGGGCTTGGAGCTCCTGCCTAGGACAAGAAGCCCTTCCAAGGAAAAGAAGCCTCTTCCTATGTAGTTCTGAGTCTACATCTGTCACCATAGTGCAAACACAGCAAAAAGAGACTCATGTACACCCAGGAAAGCGTGGTCAGGGTAGTGAAGGATCTGAAAACCATGTCATGAGAAGTGAAATCAGGTGAGATGGAGCATCTGTCTTCAAGTATGTAAGGCGGTGGCTCATGGGAGACACTAGACCTATCTTGTATAGCTCCAGATTAAGAACTAAAACCAACAGTGGGCAATGGAAAGAAGTGTAGTTCAGCCCCACATAAGGAAGGAACTTTCTAACACTGGCTGTCTCCAAAATGTCCCAGGTAGCCCACGCAGCCTAAGACCCTAGAAGTGGGCAAGCAGACCCTGAAAGACCACCTGCAAGGGCTGCTGCAACGATGTTCAGACCAGACTATCCTGATGTAGATCAACTTCAGCCTCTAGGAAAAGGAGCCAGAGATTCAGTGAGCAGAGCAAAAATGGAGAATATTGGGCTTTGCTTATGCCAACAGGCTGGACCAACAAACCAGCACAGCCTCTTCTCTCCCCAGCAGCACACTGTCTGCCACCCAGCCCATTTCCAACATTCAATGTGAATAAGTGTCAAATTCCATGGTCAGGGTTTCTAAGAAATGCCCAGAACTTCATGGTACCTTGGATAACTTACATACGAGACTCACTGGTCCCAGATTCCTGTGCCTCACCATCAGCACCACAGAGGTTACCCCTAAGTCCAGCTTGACCACAGATTGACATGTTTATAGCAAAAGGACCCAATCCAAAGTCCTCTGGCCTCTTGAAAAGGTGAGATGGGGCGTCTGCATGATGAACGCTTAGCCTCATCCTTCCATCATCAGTTTCCCTTACTTCCACCCTTGACCCTCCATCCCTTCCACATCATACAGGTGAGCAAGGAGCAGGCCTAGGTGGAACAGAAAAAGCCATTCTCTCCTTCCCACTTCACTAAGAGTTGGTGATGAAGACAAAAGGTCATCTCAGCCCCTAGAGAGAAACAGTAAGGTGCTCTGAGTCTAGTTATCATCATGATTCACTTGGAGGCAAGGATAAAGCCAACACTGAATGTTTTAGACTTTTCCCTGAAAGTTGTAATCCACTGAAGGGTCTGTCGTATACATATATATGGTATGGTTTCAAATTTGCATTCATTGTTCCCACTGAACTTAATAAAAGGAGGAGACATGGTGATTTTAAGCCAGAGAAGGGGGCTTTCCTGTAGCACATGGAGAAGATGTTAAAGCTTATTGAGTCATCATATGGGACACATTATTCTCCAGGGGCCTAAATAAAGAATCAGAGCAGTGAGATCTTATTCAGCGTTTGATGTTTCAATTTCCCAAGGAACATTCTTCCTGTTGAATTTGCAGCTTGGATGCAACACTAAGCAGACCCATTGGCCAACCCCTTCCATCTCCACACTCTCACTAAGAGTTTTAAGGAAAACCAGTTAAGATTTATTAAACATTTTTATTATTCAATGTATATCACACTCAGATCCATTTGCACAAGTCACTTTTACAGAACTCATGTATTCACATCACATATTGTTAGCAAATTCATTTTAGTGTCTCAAAGTTTACCTAGTAGCAAAGTCCAAAGTTGAGAACAACTGACAACTAGATCTAGAAATACATAAATATTTTTATTTCTGGAAACTCTGCTTACTTTACTTAAGTGTTGTTTCTGCTACATTGCATGCTGCATGGTACTGCTCACTAATAACCCCTCTCTGTGGCATCATCTGCCCATGGTGGAAAAGCCAGCAAACATGCCCTGGGCAAAAGCAGGCACAAGCAGACAGTGTGCTGGACTGGCCATCCCAAGACCTGGCATCCATGTTGTCTCTGCTGCTAACTCACTAGCTACCTTGGGAGAATCCCCTTCAATTCCTCTGCCTCGGGAATCCAATCTTTTCTATTTACTTCACAGAGTAATGGGGAAGAAACATCAAGATAATGGATGTGAAAGTGCTCAGAAAAATAGGAAGTGTCTTCAACCTATAAAGTTAAGCCTCTGTCATTAGGATCAAGTTCAGAAAATGAGGACTGAACACAAGGCTGTAAAGCAGACAGGTTCTGAGACACACCTAGCTCCATTCCTCATTTTACAGGTGAGAGCACCATGGGGTACACATCACAGCTACTCACAGGACAGCAGCAGGGCCAGTCAGGTTTGGATAGGACACTAGAAGCCCCAACCCATACTCAGATGCCCACCCAGTGGCCATCTAGCTGCCGCTTGATTACCTTTGTAGACCAGGAGCTCACCTCCTCAAAGGCAGCCCCTTTCACCTTTGAAAGGCTTAGGTGCTTAGGAAACTTTACCAAAACACGAGGAAGGGGAAGAAATTATGGTGGCCTTATCAGAGAAATGCAAATCAAAACCACAATGAGATACCATCTCACACCTGTTAGAATGGCGATCATTAAAAAGTCAGGAAACAACAGGTGCTGGAGAGGATGTGAAGAAATAGGAACTCTTTCACACTGTCAGTGGTACTGTAAACTAGTTCAACCATTGTGGAGGACAGTGTGGTGATTCCTCAAGGATCTAGAACTAGAAATATCATTTGACCCAGCCATCCCATTACTTGGTATATACCCAAAGGATTATAAATGCTGCTATAAAGACACATGCACACATATGTTTATTGCAGCACTAGTCACAATAGCAAAGACTTGGAACCAACCCAAATGTCCATCAATGATAAACTGGATTAAGAAAATGTGACACATATCCCATGGAATACTATGCAGCCATAAAAAGGATGAGTTCATGTCCTTTGTAGGGACATGGATGAAGCTGGAAACCATCATTCTCAGCAAACTATCACAAGGACAGAAAACCAAACACCGCATGTTCTCACTCATAGGTGGGAATTCAACAATGAGATCACTTGGACACAGGAAGGGGAACATCACACACCAGGGCCTTTTGTAGGGTGGTGGGAGGGGGAAGGGATAGCATTAGGAGATATACCTAATGTAAATGACGAGTTAATGGGTGCAGCACACCAACATGTCACATGTATACATATGTAACAAACCTGCATGTTGTGCATATGTACCCTAGAACTTAAAGTATAATTTTTTTAAAAAAAAGAAAGAAATTATGGTGGCCTTTTCTCTTCTAATAATTGGTGTCACTGGTGCTAAAACAGCCCTACAGACTGCATCTACCCCCTTTCCTATACAATGTGCATTGAGTCCACATGTGTTCCCTACGACACTTTTCTTCTCCAGCCTGTGCATCCCTACTTTCTTGGTTCCCACCTCACTTCAGTCTCTGTCATCCTGGTTACCCTGCAATCAGCATACTTGAATTTGTCCACAACTGGCTCCCAGCTCCTCTCCCAGGTGGCCATCTTGTCTTTGGCTATTGACAACCTGTATGTTCAGGAACTCATCTGTCACCTTCCTTTTGAGCTGCTACTGTCCACAGCTCTTTAATTCCACAGTAAGCCTGGGTGTCAGGCCTGGGCAAGGAGAGCTCCACCTGCTCCTCATACATGATTGATACCTAGCAGAAGACAACGACCTTGGAACGACCCAGGAAGGTGGACCCAGAGTCTGAAGCTTGGCTGGGGCGCTGGTCAGGGGCCCCCACTCCAGCAAGGAAGCCCCCTACATGTGTAGAAGGCATGAAGACAGGCCCGTTGCCATGGTGACTGTCAGGCAGCCTAGCCTGCCTGAAGCCTGTGAGGAAAGGCTCTGGGAAGGATCGTAGTGAGATGCAGTAATTCACCCACAACCACTACCAACCCTCCAGGGGCATTTACTGAATCAAGCAGTGCCTGGGCTGTTTCAGTTGTGGTCCAGAGAGGAGGATTGGGCAGGGCTGGCATAATCCATTCCACAGGAGGGAAGGAGGCCTTCAAGTGTGTGTGTGTGTGTGTGTGCGCGTGCGCATCTGTGCACGTGTGTGAGCATGTTTGTGTATGTGCAACTGTGTGTGCACCTGTGCATGTGTGTGTGCATGTTTGTGTGTGTGCTTGTGTGTGCGTGTGTGTGCACCTGTGCATGTGTGTGTGCTTGTGTGTGCCTATGTGTGTTGACACATTGAACTGACACAACATTGTTTTCTCCTTGGGCAAAGCCTCTTTCTTCAGGTGCCACAGTTATGTGAAGCATCTTGGAGCAGCTGGGGGGATATGAGTAAGGCTGAGGGAGTCATTTCTCCTCCATGCCCCCAGAGCGCTCTGCCCACACCTCCATTAGCACTAATTACATTGTGCTCTAATTCTCTGTTTACACGTCTGGCTCTCCCACCAGAGCAGCTCCAGTGCAGGGGCTGCATCTTGTTTTTATATCCCTGATTCCTAGGACCATTCTTGACATATAGTAGGTGTTCATTAAGGGTTGCCTGAATAAACAAATGAATCTCTGCCAAGGACAGAATCGGAGTGTTCTGACTTAAAATGGCAGCGTGCAAGATTGAGGTTCAAATCTCACAACAGGTTTGTGCAGTTCCTGCCATGTATAGGATACTGTGCTGGGCATACAGCCTCATCTTCAGGGACATCACATTCAGTGACAGGGACAAGGCAGTCGGCCATCACATTTGTAGGCTCAAATACCCAATTACCCAACATATATGTAGGCTCATTACACATTGTCTTTATTAACCAGTCATTCCTTCCTGGGACTGTAGAAAGCCTTTATTTGTTGACCTGTTTCCTGTCATTGTCAATATTTGAATGTAATGACATTGTATCTCTTTTAAAAGATTTCATAATTCAAATTTTTCACTAATTCAGACCAAGTTTCCACAAATTAGTCTGAGTTAAAGAAGTTTGGTTGTGCTAGGTTGACCCATACGAAATTGGTGCTATTCAACCATTTTTGACCTAGAAAAATGACAATTTTATATGGTTCAATCTAATACATTTCTTTTCTGGTACCCCTTTCCAAGGAACTAAAATCATTCTTTATTTCCATGCTTTCCTCCTATGGTATTTTAAAGATAAAAGTAGAAGAGTGGGATTGACTGCCACAGCCAGCAACCACGTGCCCCTCAGTTCACAAGTACAGAAACTGCAGACCTGTTGGGCACGAACTTAGCAGCCAGAGATGGGTGATGAGTGCCAGGCAATGACAGAACTGTGAGAGGAACCCAGAAGACCCACCACCAGGGTGCCTGCTTGATAGATTACCAAGGAAAGGCCTGGGCTTATTTCATGTTTATTTAGTTGTTTCTAATTTACGTACTGTCCAACTACTCTTTTTCATGCATAGGTTCATGCATTTTGACAAATGCATAGACTTGTGTAACTGCAATGAAGATAGAAAACAGTTCCATCATTGGTCAGTTTTTTGTTTGTTTGTTGTTTTTAAATAATCGCTTTTATCTTACCTGGTTCCTTTTTTATTTTATATCCACTTTAGTGGAGACATGCAACTGAAAACTGAGTGCATTTCTTGTAATAGCCTCGTCAGATTTATCCAGCTTTTAAGTTCTATTTGACGTTTCAAAGCAAGAGGAGAAGGGAAAGGAAGCAGTAGGATGAGATTTGGCACCAAGTTACATTGAGAGAAGAGCAGTGTTTTTCTCTAGATTCCCCATCTCTGATCAGAAGGACATACCAGCCAGGGAGGGAATCCTGTGAGGATAAACTTTGCCATGCATCCCAGGTGCACTCCTGGAGAATTATGCCTAATTCCAATTCTATCAAAGAGTCTATCAATCTCTGTTTCTGCTGGTCACCAAACGTTGCCTCCTCTCCTCCCACCCATGCGTTCCCCAGCATTTCAAGTAAGCAGAAAATTGATCAAATCACTTGTAAATAAACTTAAATATAATGGACAAATTACTATTATTTAGGGAACCTTTTGAAAGGTTTTTATACGAATAAATATCTTTCCAAAATAATGGTTTTAAACCATAATGGATGGAATTTGTACATTCACATCAGGGTTGCTCTTTGAAACATTCCTGTAGGATGTTGTTGGCTTATTCCAAGTTTGCTGCTATGACCCAAAACATTGTTTGAACTTTGCTTCTGAAACTGCCTCCAGAATCAGTATACAAGACATATAAGAAAACCAGCCTTCTTTTTCAAGTCACATATATTTCCATCAAGTATATTTTTCTCTTCCTGGATATTTATGAGAGCTGCTCTCCACTGATTTTCATTAACCTAATGTCCAACCTTAAGGTCAGGAATAGAGCAGTCAAACATCATTAATTTGGAATGCACTATTTTGGAATAAGAAATAGTTCAGACAAGTAAACTTCAACCATACAATTGCTTTCTTTGAAAGAAGGATTTGTTAAGCAAACTCATCATATATGCAAATCAAAAGGCAACTATTTAAAGCTACTCAAAAGAATAAACTGAATTGAATAAGCATTCTCAAGTACATACACCCTATATTAAAGCATCCTTTACCCAACATATATGTAGGCTCATTACACATTGTCTTTATTAACCAGTCATTCCTTCATGGGACTGTAGAAAGCCTTTCTTTGTTGACCTGTTTCCTGTCACTGTCAATACTTGAATGTAATGACATTGTATCTCTTTTAAAGGATTTCATAATTCAAACTTTTCACTAATTCAGACCAAGCTTCCACAAATTAGTCTGAATTAAAGAAGTTTGAGTGTACTAGGTTGACCTATATGAAATTGGTGCTATTCGACCATTTTTGACCTAGAGAAATGACAACTTTACATGGTTCAATCTAACACATTTCTTTTCTGGTGCCCCTTTCCAAGGAACTAAAATCATTCTTTATTTCCATGCTTTCCTCCTATGGTATTTTAAAGATAAAAGTAGAAGAGTGGGATTGACTGCCACAGCCCCCAACCACCTGCCCCTCAGTTCACAAGTACAGAAACCGGGAGATTTAACAGAAAGAAGAAAATCATTCAAAACACAACTGCTGCTTTTTTTTTTTGCTGTACAGAGCTTTTAAATTTGATGTGGTCCTACCTGTTTATTTTTGTTTTTGTTGCCTGAGTTTTTGGTGTTATTTCCGTATAATCATTGCCAAGACCTATGTCACAAATCTTTCCTGTATGTGTTCTAGGAGTTTTAGGGTTTCAGGTTTCATATTTAAGTCTTTAATCCATTTTGAGTTGATATTTATGTATGGTGTAAGATAAGGGTCCAATTTCATTCCTTTGTGTGTGAATATTCTGTTTTCCCAATACTATTTATTCAAGAGACTATCCTTTCCCCCTTGTGTGTCCTTGGCACTCTTGTGGAAAATCAGTTGACCATATACATGTGGATTTATTTCTGGGTTCTCTGTTCTGTTCCGTTGGTCTAGATGTCTGTCCTTATGCAAGTACAATACTGTTTTTATTACTGCGGCTTTGTAATATATTTTGAAATCAGGAAGTACGATGCCTTCAGCTTTGTTCTTCTTTCTCAAGATTGGTTTGGCTATTCATGGTCTTTTGCGGTTTTACATGAATTGTAGAATTTTGCCTCTACTTCTGTAAAAAAAATTATTGGAATTTTTTTAGGTATTTGCATTGAATATGTAGATTGATTTGTGCAGTAGAAACACTTTAACAATATTAAATCTTTCAATCCATGAACATAGGTCTTTCTTGGTTGTGTCTTCTTTAACCTCTTTGTCACTATTTTAGAGTTTTCAGTTGACAAGCCTTTCATCTCTTTAATTAAATTTATACCTAAGGCCAGGTGTGGTGGTTCATGCCTGTAATCCCAGCACTTTGGGAGGCCAAGGCAGGCAGATCACCTGAGGTCAGGAGTTTGAGACCATCCTGGCTAATATGGTGAAACCCCGTCTCTACTAAAAATACAAAAAAGTAGCTGAGAGTGGTAGTATGCACCTGTAAACCCAGCTACTCGTGGTGGGGCTGAGACAGGAGAATTGCTTGAACCCAGGAGGCGGAGGTTGTGTTGAGCCAAGATCACAGCACTGCACTCCAGCCTACGTGACAGAGTGAGACTCTATCTCAAAAAAAAAAAAAAAATTATACTTAAGTATTTTATTCCTTTTGGAGCTATTGTAGGTAGGATTGTTTTCCTAATTTCCTTTTCAGATAGTTCGTTGTTAATGTAGAGAAATGCAAGAATCAACAGAGTAAAAAGGCAACCCACGAAATGGGAGAAAATATTTGCAAACCATATCTCTGATATAGGGTTAATCTCCAAAATATATTAGGAACTCCTACAACTCAATCACACACAAAAAAAATAGCTAACAATACAATTTTTAAAAGGCTAGGGACTTGGATAGACATTTCTCCAAAAAAACATACAAATGGTCAACAGATACAGGAAAAATACTCAATATTACCAATGACTGGGGAAATGCAAATCAAAACTACAATGAGACATCTATCTCCTCACATTGTCAGAATGGCTATTGTCTGAAAATAAAAATTAAAAAAAACACAGTGCTAGTGAAAATGTAAGAGAAGTTGAAACCCTTGCACACTATCAGTGGGAATGCAAAATGGTGCAACCACCATGAAGAACAGTATGGAGGTTCCTCACGAAATCAAAAATAAACTACCATATGGCTTAGCAATCCCCCTTCTGATTATCTATCCAAAAGAATTAAAATCAAAATCTTGGCAGGGCACGGTGGCTCACATCTGTAATCCCAGCATTTTGGGAGGCCAAGGCAGGCAGATCACGAAGTCAAGAGTTCAAGACCAGCCTGACCAACATGGTGAAACCCCTTCTCTACTAAAAGTACAAAAGTTAGCCAGGCACGGTGGCACATGCCTGTAGTCCTAGCTACTTGGGAGGCTGAGGCAGGAGAATTGCTTGATCCTGGGAGGTGGAGGTTGCAATGAGGCAAGATTGCATCATTGCACTCCAGCCTGGGCAACAGAGCAAGACTCCATCTCAAAAAAGAAAAAAAACTCAAAGAGATACTAGCACTCTTATGCTCATTATAGCATTATTCTCAATAGTCAAGATGTGGAAACAGCCTAAATGTCCATCTATGGATAAATGGATAAAGAAACTGTGATATATATAAGAATGAAATACTATTTAGCCTTTAAAAAGAAGGAAACTCTGCAATATGCGACTGCAGCATGCAATATGAGTGAACCTTAAGGACATTATGCTACATGAAATAAGCCAGTCACAGAAAGTACACAAATCATGTGTCCCTCCACTTACATGAAGTTTCTAAAATAGTCAAATTCACAGAATCAAAGAGTACAGTGATAGTTGCCAGGAGCTGGGGTTGGTGGCAGCTGGGGGGAAGGAAGAAATGGGGAGTTACTAATAAGAGGCATAACATTTCAATTGAGCAAAATGAATAAGCTCTAGAGATCTGCTGTATGACAATGCACCTATAGTCAACAATACCATATTGTACACTTAAAAATGTGTGAAGAAGGCAGATCTCATGTTAAGTGTTCTTACCACAATGAAACAAAATTTTAAAAAGCACACACACAACTGCTCCAAACTGGGAATAAAAGAGTACTATATCCAGAATAAATAGAACTTAAAGCTGCTTCCCCATCGTCCACACTCGCACCCTCTGCTTTAGACCTGTTTGCCCTGAGAAGTCGGTTAGGCAATCTAAAACTCGCTTCAGGGACAAAATACATCCTTCCTGTCCGTAAGTATAATCCACTTGAGCCCAAGAGATTCTGACCATGTGAAGTAAAATTCCAACCTAAGACTTCCTAAAGGACTGGGGATGAGAGGAGAGGAAATTAAAGTTTAATAGAATGGAACCTTGGAAAACAGACAAATGCAAATTAGTAGAGAGAAGCAGAAATTCTTCTCATTTTTAAAAGCCTCTTCATTAACTTATTTTATAGCATTCTGAGAATTTGTTTAAGGAATGCAGGGATGTGTAGATTCGAGAGTGCAAGAATGACTCTTCTCTGCTTCTGGAAAGGAAACGGATTTGCACTGTAGCAAGAAGTAATACTGATGAATATGAAAAACTTCCTGGATTGTGAAGGAGGGGGATAGCATCACACCGTGAACTTTCTTTGTCTGGAGGTATTACAGTAGAGGAGCCCACTTGGAGAGATTGGGATTAATTTTGTCTTTATTCAACATTGTCCTCCTCTGCCAGAGTCCCCTGTGGCTGGATTGTAGATTAGTCCCCATGGCCACATTGGGCCTCTTTGAAGTAGCTATGGCCACTGGGAAGAATGAAGATGAGCATCAGACAGTAGATTCCTCTGCAGAGCTGGGGAGCTCCATCCAGCCAAGAAGACTCTTCTCCCATAAAGACCCCTTTTACGGGAGCCATATGATGTTGCTGCTTGCAACCTCTTCCGACACATATGCTTCCTGAAACAGAGAGGGAGGAAGAGCTACCTGAAAAGGTCTCCTCTGCAGTGTGAGGTGGGGGAATGTAGGAGTGATGTATGCTTAGTTTACTTTTAAGCAAGTGACATACAGACATGGAGAATGAAAGTGCAAGATAGGTTTGAAGCTGCAACCTTTCTCGGGGGAGCTGCTAGGAAAGGGGCTCTCCGCGGGGCAGCTCCATTTCCCTATGCCCTGTGTTACACAGGGGGAGCACTCCCCACTCCTGTAAAGCCAGACAAACCTGCCACTTGAATCCCCATCTCCCGGTGACTTGGGCACACAGTGGCAGTATATGGCAATAGAATTAATGTGACTCTAAAGTAATTTGAAAATGGCAAGAGTAGCAAATTATCACATGAAAATGCAAATTGTTCCTTATCTGGACTGTTCCATAGATGCTATGATTCATCACTGAGTGTTCAGCTGTATTTCCAAGTAAGATCTCAGTGAGAGGGTAGAAAGGCAG